GCAGAGGGCCCTGGGTTCCTCCTGGTGCAGAGGGCCCTGGGTTCCTCCTGGTGCAGAGGGCCCTGGGTTCCTCCTGGTGCAGAGGGCCCTGGGTTCCTCCTGGTGCAGAGGGCCCTGGGTTCCTCCTGGTGCAGAGGGCCCTGGGTTCCTCCTGGTGCAGAGGGCCCTGGGTTCCTCCTGGTGCAGAGGGCCCTGGGTTCCTCCTGGTGCAGAGGGCCCTGGGTTCCTCCTGGTGCAGAGGGCCCTGGGTTCCTCCTGGTGCAGAGGGCCCTGGGTTCCTCCTGGTGCAGAGGGCCCTGGGTTCCTCCTGGTGCAGAGGGCCCTGGGTTCCTCCTGGTGCAGAGGGCCCTGGGTTCCTCCTGGTGCAGAGGGCCCTGGGTTCCTCCTGGTGCAGAGGGCCCTGGGTTCCTCCTGGTGCAGAGGGCCCTGGGTTCCTCCTGGTGCAGAGGGCCCTGGGTTCCTCCTGGTGCAGAGGGCCCTGGGTTCCTCCTGGTGCAGAGGGCCCTGGGTTCCTCCTGGTGCAGAGGGCCCTGGGTTCCTCCTGGTGCAGAGGGCCCTGGGTTCCTCCTGGTGCAGAGGGCCCTGGGTTCCTCCTGGTGCAGAGGGCCCTGGGTTCCTCCTGGTGCAGAGGGCCCTGGGTTCCTCCTGGTGCAGAGGGCCCTGGGTTCCTCCTGGTGCAGAGGGCCCTGGGTTCCTCCTGGTGCAGAGGGCCCTGGGTTCCTCCTGGTGCAGAGGGCCCTGGGTTCCTCCTGGTGCAGAGGGCCCTGGGTTCCTCCTGGTGCAGTGGGCCCTGGGTTCCTCCTGGTGCTGAGGGCCCTGGGTTCCTCCTGGTGCAGTGGGCCCTGGGTTCCTCCTGGTGCTGAGGGCCCTGGGTTCCTCCTGGTGCTGAGGGCCCTGGGTTCCTCCTGGTGCAGTGGGCCCTGGGTTCCTCCTGGTGCTGAGGGCCCTGGGCTCCTCCTGGTGCAGTGGGCCCTGGGTTCCTCCTGGTGCAGAGGGCCCTGGGTTCCTCCTGGTGCTGAGGGCCCTGGGTTCCTCCTGGTGCTGAGGGCCCTGGGTTCCAGGACACCATCCTCTGACTCATCAGGAGGTCATACAGGCAGGCGGGGGCCGAACACACTACTGAGTCACATGATGAGCTGATGTGATAAAGTCACACACGTTGGATCAGCCTGTGATTTACATGTTTCACTCTGATTTTGAATCCTGCCCACAGTGGGTCGATGGTTTTGGTTTCCACTGACTGTTGTTACATCACTTTGTTCTCAGTAAAGATTTTACATTGGAATAATTTGTTCATCAAGATCTGATGTGTGATATAAATATAGATAGATAGATAGATAATGTTCCCTTCATTTTTTGAGCAGTGTATGTTGCTTTAGGTTTTGTTCTATTGATGCTTCCTGTCTGCACTCTGTCCCTTTACTGCTGTGATGTTGCAAATTTCCCTGCTGTATCTTATCGTATCTTATAAAAACATATATTTTGATTTATTGATGACTTTAAAAGGTAAACTTTGCAGGATCTTCCCTTTGCTGGCCGTGGTCAGGGTGCTCCTGGGGACAGTACACAGGTGAGGTCAGGACTTTATAAAAAAGGTAATCACCAGGCACCAGACCGTAAGCAGCACGCATCTAAGAGGAAGCCTTGAATATCATGGACACAGCTCCAGAAAAAAACAAAAAAACAAAACAAACAAAAAACGCAAATATAGGAAGGCGAATCTGGGAGTGGACAGAGCTTGTTCCAGGGTGAGAGTACATCAGGGGTGAGGACGAATGAAGAGCGATTCAGAGGTGGCCTGTTTCCTGTTGGACGGGTAGGTGCCAGTGGTTAGCTTAGTTAGCTTGCTAAAGTATCGGCTTTTTAATTACAACAATGTAACATTCCTACAAAAGTACAGTCGCTTCCAGTGATTGCAGCACATCCTCACTCCAACCTTGTCTCATATTAAAAAAAAAAAAAAGTCAAAATACACTTCTGTGTTCACAGGAAATTTAACGTTTACATACAGTCGGTACAACACGGGAATCAATGTTTTTTTCTTCCTTCAGCAACAAACACACGTGGTTGGGTTTAGGAAAAATAACAGGGTTTGGCTTTACAGACTTACAGGACGCAAAAACCGCTCTCTCGGGTCAAAGTCGGTGGTTGTTGGACCCGTCCACCACCCCTCCCACCCGCCCCAGTTGGACTTTAGCCACCCTAATGTTTGTCCTTGTCCCGCTGCGTTTCCCCCTGACGCCGTTAAACAGTAATGGCAATGCTCAAGTCACTGCCCAAGCGCCGGATTTCGACGACTTCAGGCAGTGTCAGGAGGAGGGGCCAAGTTTGCATGTTTTCAAACAGTAACCTGTTGCAAGCTGCATCTGACTGCTCGCTCTGGTTAAAGAATATATAACTTGAAATATGGACATTAATAACAATAATAACATTTCATGTTATGTACCAAATTAAAGTTCAACACCTGGTGGCAGAAACAGCTGTCCAAACAGAGGAACCATCATGATGCTTTGTTTTAGACTGCAGATCTGTTTCAGTGCAGGCTTCGGCCTCTGACAGGGTCACAGCCTTTCAATGGGCCCACACTCACAGAAAAAGAGTCACATCTTAGTCACTACTTTCTCTACAAGAAAAAAAAAAGCTGACAAACTGAAGTGGACAGAAACGTTTGTTTTTCTTTTCAGAGTGTAGCTGCTGAGGTTCGGGGTATTTGGGGTGTGGGTCTGATGAGGGTATGGTGGGGTGGGGTAAACCAACACATGACCTCGGGACCAGGCCGAGCAACCTCAAGAACTGACCTTTCTGCCGGAGTCCTTGTGTCCACACTCCCCCTTGTCATACCACCACTTGTTTTTCAACTTGTCTAAGACGGCTTGTTCATTGAGCTTCAGTACTGCTAGGTTTACTGGGATTCTTCACAGAACCATGTGAGGAAGGGAGGGGGAGGGGGGTTGGAAATAACATAAATAACATTATGCACCTCCATGTTATCTTATGTTATTGTTCAGCTGCACAGCAACAGGGCTGCGGAGGCTACAGCAGCAGCAGCAGCAGCAGCAGCAGCGGCAGCAATGATTTTAGCAAAACTGGCATTTGCAGTACAGTCGCTGTGGTACACTACAGAGAACACCTCAACAACAACAGAAAGAAAAACATAAAACAGGCACAATCACACAGAAAAATGCTTTGGTAAATGTTAGCGTCAAAGTGATATGCATTAATACTCCATCTAGCTTGGTTTGGCCTGACTCCCTACGTGCGAGATGTGTATTACTATATCACTTTGGGTAACCGGCAAGAGCTGAAAACACTCCGGGACCTTTGGGATCACAGAACGAAACAGTCTGCGGTCCAAAAACCAGGAAACATGTCATCTGTAATCTTTTGTGGTGGAGAGCAGCTGAAGGCCTGGATGGAGTCGACAGTGTCCATAAGCAAGGAACTGGCTCCAGAGGTAAGATGATCAGAGGGGGTATTTTACTAACAGGCTAGCCCTGATTCATTGTCAGTTATTGTGGCTCAGTCAGTTGACAGCAAAATAAATAACTCCATGTAAAGACCTGGATCCTCCTTTGCTGTAGAAATGACCACTTACATGACGCCCATATATCTATAATAATATAAATATGTCTCCACCAGTGCACCCAGGGCTGTTTTTGGGAAAGAGTTGTGGTAGAGTCCTGTTCCACAAATGTTTGTCTTTCCCAAATTGCATCTTTAACACAGTGGTTTGTTTGTTTTAATTAGTGAGACTTTTAAATTATATCAAAAGGACGTGATCCTTTATTTACAGAAGGCCTGAGGAGCAGGGTAAAAAAAAAAAACAGTGGTGTGAGCCACAGCGCTGAAACAGCTGAGCAGAACCGTCCTGTTGGCGAGTATTTGAAGTGCGTGCAGTGGGCTAATCAGAGATTTCTTGTGGTGTTGTAACGGTGGCTTTGGTGTGGAGAAAAACGTGAATCAATATTTCTCTCTTGCTTGCTTGCTAAGCAGACTGCGTATGTTCGAGCATAGCAACTTTAACATTGTGGGCGAGTGGTTCTCCTCACGGCGCCACGGCCCAGGTTCATTTTGTTTTACAGTGGATGTTTGAAGTTCGTTAAGTGAGATTGTAATACTTTTTGTTTACGCCGATTTTGGCCGAATATTTTAACGCCCTTGTTTGTATAGTGCACAAAGTGCTTCATTCTGTTCGTTTTTCTCATTCTTGAAATGGCCTTAAGGTTTATCTCCTCTGCAGGAGATAACCTCCCATACATAGGAGATAACATCCTGTAAGTAGGAGATAGCATCCCCTATGTAAAGGAGAAATTGCTGTATGTAGACGATAACATACTATACGTAGAAGATAATATCTCATACATAGAAGATAACATCCTGTAAGTAGGAGACAATATCCCATACGTACAAGATAACATCCCATATGCACGAGATGTCTTGTACATGGGAGGTGACATCCCAGATACAGGAGATAATATCTCGTATGTAGGAGACATCTCGTACGTTGGAGGTAAACAGGATTTAGCCTACATTGCCTGCCTCTCAGTGCTTCTGTAAATACTGCAAATTGTAAATCTGGTGAAACCAGCTGTCCTCTGTCGATTTCTGAATCACCATCCACAGCTCCAGTTTGTTCACCTGTTTGAACAGACTTGGTGTTGTTCCCATTGATAAAACAGTAATCAAACAGTAATTAAAACAGTGGACCGTTTTAAGGTAGGATTATTCTCTCTAAGTTTGTTATATAAAATAGCCCCTGGATCAGAAGGTGGGATATCAACAAGGCCTAAGAGTGAATCAAATGATGGATCAAATCACCTCCTATCCCAGAGTTGAACCAGTCTTTCTACAGCTGTGAAAAACACCAAACAATAGTTTCGGGTAGTTTCAGCGGTGCCATCCGGAGTGTTTTATGCTTGATATTTAAGTTTTGGGTTGTTGCCGGTTACCCTGGTGTGTCATTGCCTGTCGTTACCCGTTGGGGGTTACGGTGATCTGACCTTGGAGTCCCCTCCCCCGATGCCGCACTCTCCCTTGTCATACCACCATCTGTTTTTCAATTTGTCCAACAGGCCCTGCTCGTTCAGTTTTAATACTGCCAAGTTTACAGGGTTTCTACGGGGATGATAGTAATGAGGGATAAAAGGGAACTAGGTGTTACCATGGTGAAGATAGCAACATCATTACAAGTACTCTACTTCTGTCAGGCATGTAATGGGTCTATAAAGGACAAGTTCACTGCTCTTCAACCCAGACCTTGTTAAAATGTAGTTTCCAGTCTACATAGTTTCGGTGAGAAAAAGTGCTGCAGACATTCACTGGGCTTGAGTTACAGAAATAAACGGGATGTGGAAACACCTTTTGCAAATAAATTCTGACACAGCATTTAATTCACGACTGATCACCTGTTTTTTTTGCCTTTGGTGTATTCCCGTGCATTAGAATCACTCTTACAATTTGTCTGTGTTTCCAGATGGCACGAAACGTGGCCAATACTAGCTGACATGTCAGAGCGATTAAAACTTGCCCATCCATCCATTTTCAACCGTTTATCCGAAGCAGGGTCTCAGCAGCAGAATGTTGAGCAAAATATTCCAGACGTCCATCTCCTCAGCAACGCTTTCCAGCTCCTCCTGGAGGACCCCGAGGTGTTCCCAGACCAGACAAGATATGTGATCCCTCCAGCATGTTCTGGGTCTGCCCCGGGGCCTCCTACCAGTGGGACGTACCTGGAACACCTCTAACGCCCAGGAGGATCCTGATCAGATGTTGAACCACCTCAACCGACGCCTTTCGACGTGAAGGAGCAGCGGCTCTACTCCGAGCTCCCTCCAGATGTCTGACTCCTCCCCCTATCTCTAAGGCTGAGCCCAGACACCCTACAGAGGAAACTCATTTCAGACGCTTGTATCTGTGACCTCATTCTTTCAGTCACTACCCAGAGCTCATGACCATAGGTGAGAGTTGGGACGTCAGTGAATCAGTAAATCAAGAGCTTTGTCTTCTGGCTCAGCTCCCTCTTCACTATGACATGTTTGGTGCAGCACCGGCATCACTGCAGACACAGCACCAAACCGCCAATCCATCTCGTGCTCCATTCTACCCTCCCTGTGAACAAGACCCTGAGATACTTGAACTCCTTCACTTGAGGCAGTAACTCTCTCCCAACCCAGAGGGAACAATCCACAGTTTCCTGTCAGAGAACCATGACCTCAGATTTGGAGGTGCTGACTCTCATCATAACCCCTTTACACTCGGCTGCAAACCGTCACAGTGCATGCTAGAGGTCACGGTGTGATAATGCCAACAGAACGACATCATCTGCAAGAAGCAGAGACACAATTCTGGGGTCACCTCAGAATAAAACTTGCCCAACTGAAACAAATTATTAAAGACCTCTTTCCATTTTTCTTTCATAGGTGGATTGATGGCCAAGGTGACCTTTTTGCAACCTTGTTTTGTTTTGAGTTCGTTACCTCTACTTCTTCTGCTCTGTTCACTGGTCGAATACAGCCATGTGTAAAGCATGGCCTATACTGCCACCCTCTGACCAAACTATGCTTAGGGTAGCCTAGTTTATTCACTTAAAAACAGTTGATGGAAACACGCCTTATTCATGTTTCTTTTTTGCAACATTTCAAAAGTGTGCTAAAAATTTGCTTGACGTTTTAATGGAAACACATTGATACCAGGATCAGATCCTGGAAAAGGCTCAGATTGGTGCTCACAGGCGAGCACCTACCGGTCAGGTCACTCCCATAGTCAAAGAAAAAGCATCTTAGAAACCATCACCACTTTGTTGTCTCATCAAAGAAAAGCTGAAAGTTAAGGGGCTGCGGGCAATGTTTGGACATAATGGACCTGGAACTGATAACTAGCTCTTAGACTATCACCTTTCTCAGGGTGAAAAGACTCAGTGCCTGAAGATGATAGTTTGACTCATTTTCACGCACTTCAGTATTGTCTTTGGAACCAAACTCCTTTTCTTTGAGTGATCCCTCTTTGCTGCATTAATACAGTTTTTTGGATTCAATCAGTCCATTTCCATCCACAGTGAAGTGAAGCTCCAGTCCCAGCTGGATGAGGACACTGAACTGGCCTACTGTCCTTGTCCCAGTATACAAGCACGGGAGGGGAATCCATTTATTGAGCCAAGTATGTGCAACTCCTCTACGATAGGTGGAGATATGCCCCCTTTCAGCTTGTTAGTATTGGACCTTTTTCCTGTTGACCTATTACGTCACAGACCAAACAATCACCATTCCGTGTTTTCCTCCTAAACATGTAGATGGCATTAAGCTATAATGCAAAGATTTAAAGAGATTGTTCATAAAACAGCAAGGACGAAGTGAGTCAGCATGACGGCTGACGTCACCCTGCTTGATAAAGGAAGGACTTTAATGATTCGGGAGGAGGTCCAGATTAAATCACTTATGCTTCATAGTCAGAGGAACTATCAGGAGAATCCTAGAAAGAATCTCTCATGGGAGTCTTTCTCTGGACAAGTCCCAAGCATGACAGACTGGGAGGACATCCATGGGTAACATTTGGACATTCTGGTGGGACTATGTGTCCCAGCTGGTCTAGGGTCACCTGGGGTCCTCCAGGAGGAGCTGGAGGGAGTTTTTCTCAGCTGTGACATGCGGATGGATCGATGGATGGAAAACTGTTTGTACTGTGTCCAGTGATCAGCTGCAGCAGAATTAGTTTCTACACTAGTGAAGGAAAACAACATTTTAACACAGTCTGGACTGAAAAACAGCAAACGTATCCTGTTACTGACGACTGCGCAGCAATCCTCCACTTGCATTAATTTCCATTCATTACCTGATGAATAAAGGAGGAACAACAGTCAAATATTTGGACAAAAATTCCAACAGGAATATGAAATAACATCAGGTACCAAATTATCTTTTACACTTTGACCTACCATGTTGTTTTTCCCTACAAATGGCACTAGTACCCAGCAATTGGCTGTTGTTCCTCTTTACATAGCCATGATGATCAAAGCAAAGAAATTATAAAATGATCAGTGATGAGCAAACCAGTATAACTTCAGTGTGAGGAGATGATAACAATAATCAATGAGATGATGGCTACAGCAAAAGAAGAGTTTTGTTCTGAAGTAAATTGTTACACGAAAATAAACAATCAAGAACTGAGTATTCAAAAATGATTTGGATCCAACATTGTTTGAAAAAAAGTCAACTTGAAGTTGTAAATTTAAGAAAGACCAAAACCAACGATGTCCAACTATTTATGAACTTGAGGCGTGTGGTGATACTTTGTATTTCTTGACACAAGTGAAGTTGCCATTAAACTTTGGTCAGAACAGCGGTTGGCGTAAACAGACCGATTGACAATGTTTGTTAAAAGTAACTTCTGGGTAGAAAAGTTCTGCATCGCTTGCATACAATTACACAGCTCTGAGCAAACGCAGATGAGGAACAACTGAGATACCGAGAGAAAATAGTTACATCTTGTTGTATATGAGAAGTGGAGAGGGGTTTAGGTTTTTCACATTTCTGCAAAGAGCAAACATGCTCAAAGACAGCGCTGGACTTTGGATGCGTTCACACCTGCCCTGTTTGGTTCAATCAAACTCACCAAAACAACCAGACTGAGACCTTCTTGAAGAGGTGGTCTCAGTCCGGTTCCAAAGGAACTCTGGTGCGGTTGGTTTGTGGTGAGAAAATGTTCAGACCTGGATGTGAAGCAACTGCAGTCACATGACACATTGTTTGGGTTAAACATGAGCATGTTACAGTCCTGGAGGATTATTAATGTGCACCTCCTCCTGTACTGCCTTAATATGCACATTCAGCACATCCAATGCATCAAAACATTGTTTTCTAGTTGGAGCCGCGCCTCGTTTTCAAACTGTATGATTTGACTAAAATGAACAATGACAGCAATATAGTCCACGATGAGCAGCGCTAAAATCAACCTGCGTAGTTGTCCCTCCATTGTGACATTAGAAAGTGTCACATTAATCTTGCAAGTGTACTCTTCTTCAACGTTTGCTTTACTTCCTGGATTTTTCCCACATGGAAATTCTGACCAATCAAGAGCAGCTTTTTCACACAAGGCATTTGATCTGGTCCTCTTGTAAATGCTGCCGTGAGAACAAGAACCAACTCTAGGCAATTATACAACTTTGGAACAACATGAGTCCCTGATTCAGACCAAAGGAGACCACTCTAGGGCTGACAGCAGCCTCAGTGTCTGAAAAAGGAGGAGATCAGCGACAGACCAGCGACCTGTATTTCTCAAAAAGACGAGGGCTCTACTATGTCAGGTGTTGGGAAATCATGGTAGCCTGGTCCTCATGACTGAATTTGTGGGAAGCATTTTGTGAGCAGTAAGCTTTATTTCTCATTTCATTTTCAGTAAACAAAGGAAAAACTTATTTGAGGCCATTGGCATTGTGTTAGTTGGGTAACACTAGGCTATTTAGTGCTGCTGTTTGGCCAACAGAGTGGCTTCACTGTATGTTTTAGGAGACACATCAGCTTGCTTGGCTCAACAAGTGACACATTATGCATATATTAAATTAATGGTAAATTAATGGAGCTGAGAGTCTAGCTTCGCCCCTGCTAACAGCTTAATTAAAGATTGTGTTTAAGAATTACCTGCGATATGTTCAGGTTTTTCATAGTTACAGCATCATAACCACGTCTCTACGTTTGGAACAAATCACTTAATTAGGCCCAAAACGTCTGTCGGACCACCACCTCTTTAAACGGCTGAAAATGACAACAGAAGTAAAGTTCATCTATTTCAAATTTCTCCGCAATTCAAATCAACTGCCAGCCGTCTACCCAGAAGTGACTGTCGACCAAATTACTGAATTATCACCTGAATCAGACGGTGGCCTCGAGGGCTCAACGCACTGCCAATTAAGAAAACACACAAGAATACACAAAACACAAGCAAATCAAGAAAACGTCTTCACCAATAATCCAAAAAACTCCCCACTGACAGATAAACAGACTTCAATAACTTCACAAACCAAACACCATGGCAACAACAAACATGTCCCGGCTGTGTGCATCACTTTTTAGTGTCCCCTAGAAACAGATTCTGTTGTCTTGTGGTGCAACTTTCAGTCAATC